GGTTGGGTGGCATCCCCAAACGAGTTCCTCTAGTTTGGTTATGGATCCCGTACGTACGTTTTAACCCAGGCCACCGAATATTCATAATTATACCCGCAAGGCCTATTTCTAAGTCATCTTAGAGGTCTTCTAGATAGTCTTAGAAACCAACGTCAACCTAGGTATATCTTAGAGTTCTTCTAGATATCCTTAGAATTCAAATCATTTCATAATCATCAACATATTCAGTTCAATTCATAATTTAATCTTCAATAATCATTTTAATCAGTAGTTTCATCAAGTCATAATCATCATAATAATCATTCATCATAATCATCAATCAACATAACATTTGATAACAAACAGCGGCCTAGTCTCGAGTGTTAACACCCGAACTTACCGTCATGCATCACATAGTATTTTATATGCCAAAAACATCATTTTTATTATACAAAATCATATTTATATTGTGCATAATTAATTGGTATCAAAAATAGGATTTCATAGTTCAAAAATCATGTTTTCTAAATAATAATTGATTAATATATGATAGGAAATTCAATTATTAACTATTAGCTTCATTTTCTTCAATAGTGTAGGGAGACAGTATACTGTCACTTCTGATAATCTACTGTCTGATATTTAGAATGGGCTAATAATCGATTATCACACTTTGATAATCGATTATCAAACTTCAGAGAGGGCTGACAGTCGATTATCACATTCTGATAATCGACTGTTCCTCAGCTTTGTTCAAAAAATATGCAGAACGATGAATAATCGATTTTCAAGTTGATAATCGATTATCCATCGTCTTCTACCTCGAGCTAACTTGCGGAAATGTCACTTTTGCTCACCAAACTTCAATTAAAGTATATAAAAATGTTCTCCAAGGTTCATGGATCATTTTAGCATCATTAGTTCATAATTTTAACATCAATTTCATGGTTTATGATTCTTAGTTCTTCAAGCATGTCAAACACAAAACTCAACCAAATGACCATTTATGAACGTAGAAACGACCTATATGAACATTCTAGTCATTAGATATATCTACGGGCTTACCTCGAAGTTTAATGGAGGTTTTGGAAATTTTCCGGCAAAACTTCCGGCGAGTAATTCTCCCAACTCCGGCGACTTCACACCAAATTGACAGCACCACAACACTCCTCACACTTTCATGAACACTTAGAAAGAAGAATGAAGAAGAATGGTGAAGAAATGAGAAGGAATGGTCTCACTTATATAGAAGGAGAAGGAAGGATAAAGCAAGCCCTGTCACCTTCTCCTGTTGGAATGGCTGAGTGGAGGAGGAGGCTGATCTCTACAGTTTTTTTTAAACGCAAGTCCCTGATTGGGACTAATTTTGGTCCTAGTCGGGGTACACTTTTTGGTCTAACTTTCTCCGAATTGAATTCTGTTTGTACCGTTGCGATCAGACAGTCGAATTCTAGTCAACAGTTTACTTATTACATTTATTTGTAATACTTTTTCTGACATCATATTTTTGGGTGTTTGACTTTGACAGAGTCAAAATTGATTTAATTGACCTTTACTCAAAAAGGTTCTTGCATTCCATTCATATTATTTATTCTCGTGATTTATTTCAATAAATCATTTCAAAGTTTACATCATAAACAATTTTCTTCATTTATTCTTAATTTGGGTCTGTACTCAGGTTCCCAATCAAGGTTACACAAATAGTCAACATATTTTATCTCAATGATATTTATCGAGATTGTGATATTGGACTTTAGAACATATTTCATATCGGGCCCAAAGCCCAATAATAATTTATTTTAATCAAAACAAATTTGTTTAATTGAATATTTAATTCAATAAATTTTAGGGTATGTTTTGGGGCGTTACACCAGTAGATATGCACGGAGAATAAGGAGCCCAAAAATCACAATGAATCAAATCAAATAAGTTCTCAGCTTTATTAATACTAGGAAAACATTTAGAACGAGTCTGTTTGGAAAAGAAACAAATATCACAAGACTGAAAATTTTTAATTTCAGTATTGCTCTTATTAAATGGGGGTAGAGACAGAAGTTGAGGAGATGGATGGCCAAGATGTTGGTGCAGTAAGGAAACAGGCTTGGTTTTGGATGCTTGGGCTTGAGAAGGAAAGACATAGAATCCGTTGTGTGCTTCACATTGACCAATCCACGTCTTCGTAGTTCGGTCCTATATCACACAAAAATGATCATTAAATAAAACACGAAAGTTATGTGAGTTAACAAGAAAACTCACTGATACCAAATTTCATTTCAAATTGGGAACATATAAAACATTGTGCAAGGTTAAAGAGGGAAACACTTGCACTCGATCAAAAGAATTTGCTGCCACATGAGCCCCATCGGGCAAACTTATAGTGCAAGGAGGCCTCGGTACTACATCGGTCAAACACGAGAGCGTCCCTGCCATATGATGAGAAGCACCACTGTCCACAAGCCACTCACAAGGCACAGTAAAAGACATACCTTGTAGCTTACCAGATGAAGAAGGTGTTGAATCTATCACAGAGAAAAGACGAGCGACTTGATCTGGGGACAAAGCAGAGTGAGGGAGGCACATCTGTCGTGGCATTCGTTATGGGACCTGCGGCTGACACAGATTGCCCGGCAGTGATGGGCGGTGACGGCCCAATGGTTCTTCCACCACGGTGCTCGCGTCCTCCCCCTCATTAGGCAGAATTGCAGCCATGCCCCGATCCGAATTCGGAAACCCAATAATCATAAAACATGGATCAACAGTGTGACCTTGTTTTCCTCAATGAGTGCACTGGCATGTGTTGCGCACAGTGCATGGGGTGGCAAATGCCATAAAAATCAGTATGATCATCACGAGCATACACCATACTACAGTGGCGCTCCTCTTGGGTCACCAAATAAAATGACCTGTTCAATTTTGCAAGAGGTTGAATGCCTAAAATTTGTCCCCGAATAGTGCCAAATTGCTCATCATCCAGTTCCAACAAAACTTTTCTGGTTTTTGCCTTCTCGACATCAGCACGTAACTTGGCCGCCACCTCGCATGTGCAGTCGCATGTCGGTTCCTCAACGCCATATAATTTGTTCTACAAAGTGACAAACTGATTGTAATAGACCACCATAGTTTGACCTTTTTGTCTCAGGGTCTGCAACTCATTCTCAACCTGATAAATTCTAGGCTCATTCATGGTACTATCTAGCCTTCAAATAGACCACAATTCATGAACCATATTATGAGAAGTAATACTATGTTGTATCTTCTCATCAACACTATTAAAAATCCAACTGCAGATCATAGAATTGTTTGCCTCACATGCCTCCAATTTACTAGGATCAGTAGGTTTAGGCATTCCCGTAGAAGACAAAAAAACTCGCCTTACTGCGTCCCTTCAGAGCATTGAAAATAGTTTTCTCCCAAGTATCAAAATTGTCACCTTTTAACACGTGTTTTATCATAGTATTACCTGGACCCTCAAATGGATGAAGATAATATTCTGATGATGAATTGTGAATCAAACGAGTCTTCTTGGCAGTGGTTGTCATCACAAGAGATCACAAACTAGGCGCGTAAACCTGTGAAATTTGTCGACCAAAATTGCCAACCAAACAACATCGCCCGACCAGACCCATCGCCGGAGAGAAAGTTAGTCGAACAGAAAAACAAAAATACGGTGTGGGCTGATTAATCGCACGCCTAAGAGTAGAGACGTGAAAAACCTATGGTTTTGGCTCCAATACCATGTAGAATTTTAGCGGAAACAGTTCTGCTTTTCATTAATCGCAAACCGATATATATATATATATACATATATATATACATACATACATACATACATACATACATACATACATACATACATACATACATACATACATGTATGTATGTATGTATGTATGTATGTATGTATGTATGTATATGTATCTATATGTATGTGTGTGTGTGTGTATGTATATGTATATGTGTATATATATACACACACACACACATACATACACACACACACACATGTACAGAACGGGCTAAAGAATACAGCCTGAACAACACTATTATCTACGACCTATTTACAAATACCCGCGAACACGGGTCAAAAGATTCTTGTCAAATTATTTTTCAAAACTATCTAAATGTTTTTATTTGGCATTACAAAATAAGAGGGAAAATGGAAAAAAGTAGAGTTATTAGGCTTCATTTAAAATCCAAATCCACAAATAAATCAAGTGAAGATAATAGTATAAATATTGGAGTATATGGAGTTGACTTGATGTGTTGTACAGTATTTCAGAATGAGTTTGTAAAGAGCATGTGGCTCTTGAATTTTGTCTCTCACTTTTCCAACCTACACAACCAAGAGTCATTGGTGAAACCTCCAATGTCCCATGCCATTATCCCATTCCATATATGACAAATTTCTTATGCCGCATAACTTTTGAGGTGGAAAGAAAAACTCAAAATTGCGGTTACAAATGAAAGTACTTGAAAATTTTGAAGCCGATTTTTGTGGCCATGCAAGTAAAATTATCAATGTTCCCCTGCAAACATATAAATAATGCCCAATCCTCTCTTTTGATTCTCTTCCACCATACACTTTAATAATGTAAAATAAATGTATAGACCTATTAGATTACTCCCAAAATATCTAAAAATATGTGTATAACTACATACATTAGCTACAATTACTTAACTTAAAATCCAAAAAAAGAAAAGAAAAAGATAAAAATGGAGACCAAATCATCAAGAAATAACACATCCGCTCTCCAAGTGGAAGAGGCGGCGTCACCGCTACCGGAGCATACTCCGATGTGGAAGCTTGTCTTGGTGGCGTCGATTGCCGCCGGAGTCCAATTTGGATGGGCCCTGCAGTTGTCCCTCCTCACGCCTTATATCCAATTGCTTGGAATCCCTCACAAATACTCATCATTCATTTGGCTTTGTGGACCGATTTCAGGCTTGATCGTTCAGCCGCTAGCGGGCTACTATAGCGACAATTGCACGAGTCGCTTTGGCCGCCGTCGGCCTTTTATAGCTGGCGGTGCATTCCTCGTCATCACAGCCGTCATTCTCATAGGATTCGCCGCCGATATCGGCTATGCCACCGGTGACCCCCTTGGGAAAACCTCTAAACCCCGTGCCATTGCAATTTTTGTCTTTGGCTTCTGGATCCTCGACGTCGCCAACAACATGTTACAAGTATAATATAAAAGCAACATTTACTCGTAAATATTACTATCCCATTTCACAAAACCATTTCTATTTGATAAAATGTTAGATTTGATGAAAGTGTAATCCAGGTGTTACTTTTCAATTTTGTTCTTAGTTGTGATGATAGAATAAAATGCCATAGCTAAATGATTAATAATAATTATATATGATGTGATAGATAAGGTACTTGAGTAATAATTAGTAGGATAAATATAGAATTTAGTAGGAACTCAAAAATGTTTTATGAGAAAAACAAGAGGTAAAAAATAAAAAATATTTTATGAAACACAGCGATCCTTAGGAATTATATTTAGGAAGGGGTATATTCCATATATTCGTTCCTGTTCAATTTGATTTTTTTAAAAATAAAAAATCAAACTGGCATGATGGATCTTTGCCATGATGGATATTATTGTTGTATTGTAGGGTCCATGCAGAGCGCTGTTAGCGGATCTCTCAGACGGGAATGCGGAAAAAACAAGGTTGGCAAATACCCTCTTCTCCTTCTTCATGGCGGTCGGAAACGTCCTCGGCTACGCCGCCGGCGCCTACCCCCGCATCTACAAGATCTTCCCCTTCGCCCTGACTCAGGCATGCGACGCCTACTGCGCCAACTTGAAGAGTTGTTTCATCATCTCCGTCTTGCTCCTCCTCACCGTCTCCGTCTGCGCGTTGACCGCCGTGAAAGAGAAGCGGCACACGGTGGAGAGCCACCAGGGGGAGGCGGTGCAGAGGGTGGCGTTCTTCGGGGAGATCTTCGCCGCTTTAAAAAACCTGCCGCGGCCCATGCTCATTCTCCTCCTCGTAACCGCCCTCAACTGGATCGGATGGTTCCCTTTCATCTTGTACGACACGGACTGGATGGGCCGGGACGTGTACGGGGGCCACATAGGGGACAATGGGCTTTACGACAAAGGGGTCCACGCTGGGGCGTTGGGCCTGATGCTCCAGTCCGTGGTCTTGGGCTTCATGTCCATTGGGGTGGAGCTGTTGGCCCGCCACATCGGCAACGTGAAGACGCTTTGGGGTGGGGTTAACTTCATATTGGCCATTGGGTTGGCGATGACGGTGGTGGTTACCAAAGCGGCAGAGCACTCGAGAGCGTACGATGGTAGCGGCAACGTCCTTCCGCCGTCTATGGGCGTCAAGGCTGGAGCTTTGGTCATCTTCTGCGTCCTTGGTATTCCTCTTGCAGTAAGTCCAACCGTCATATATACATCTCTAAAAAAATACACGCTCTCCACCTATCAAAAAATAAGATCTTCATTTGATTTTTCAAAACCTAGACATTATAGTCATTACTCTCTCTCTTCGAAAATGATTTCTGATTTGACTTTCTCCTTTAAAGTTAAAATATAAATATTTTTCATGTTAAAAATAATTTTGAAATATTAAATATTCATAAAATATGTTCATGAATAAATATAGATATTAATGATCAAATTCTTTCATTAGAAATCGTGAAAAATCAATTGAAAATATCATTTCCAGAAGGAGAAAGTAATATATATAATTATCATACATAATTTTTTTACAAAAATATGATATTTTAAAATTACTCCGTATTAAACTTTTATTACACTCTCTATCCCATTTGTCTATTTATATAAAAATATTAATAGTCAAAGTATCGTATTGGAGAGAGCGTGAAAAGTCAAATGGGGAGAAAGATATTAGTTAGAGGGAATATTGTCAAAGAATATTTTTTTTTCAAATTTTGTACGTATTAGTTTTATTTAAATTTGATCATAAAAAGTCATACGAGAGTACTTTCGTTTCCGATAGGGGAGTATTATAAAAGAATAACTTCTTTTGTCGTATATCTTTCTTCTCTGATTTTTCACAACCTTCAATGAAATACTAGAACAATTAATATCTTTATATATATAAATATAAAAGTATGATATTTTAAAACTATATTTTGAAATTAGTCGGTCGATATTAAATTTATATTACAATTCAATATATTTTATCGTGATTTATGATCAAAATTTTAAAATGTTAACCGCAAAAAAGTCAAACTAGAAAGAAAGATATATATGAGACAGGGGAGTAACTTAACAAATAATAATATTATACTCCATATACGGAGTATATAAATATTAAAAACCCACTTAAAATATGAACTATATATATATATATATATATATATATATATATATATATATATATATATATATATATATATATCTTTTATCATACATTTCTAATATAGGAGTAACTTGTTTGTAATCCTAAAATGAAATTACTACAGTCTAACAATGTGGCACTCCATAGTGGAATTTCACAGTATTTTTGATATTATTGATATTATTTTAGGAAAAACATAGACATAACTCCTATTCTAGTTATTTTTCTGTATTTTACTTTTATTTTAATTTTTTCGGTTAGTTTGATTTGATCGATTATAGAGATTAAATAATGTCGACTCTCGATTCTAATTTTGCCTTTTTTTTTGTCTAATTGTGTAAATGGTAGGTGACATACAGTATTCCATTTGCTCTAGCGTGCATATTTTCAAGTGATAATAATGCTGCTGGTTCTGGCCATGGTACGTAAAACTTCACTAAAGTTGCACTTCATGGATAAATATAGTACTATGTTTTTCTTCTAGTTTCACCATATATCTTAATTCAAAATAAACCTTACCTTTTCTGATTTTTCTGAAAATAAACTTTACATTTAATTTCAAATAAGTATCGGAACAAATCACATAGGAAGTATATTTACCTCATCTACATAAATTTTAATCATAAATATATAACTTTTTCTTAAATTTCGTGAAAATCATATATAGTAAAAGGTTGAGTTTGAGAGAGAGAGAGAGTATTAGTTTGGTGTTTTAGACCTATTTAGATCTAGAAGTGCTTTGCGCCATTTTGGCATTTCTGACACAAGGGGCGGACGTGATTCATGATGGTCCCTGATACGACCTTAACCTATCGTAAACTTTTATTTTGAGTAATTTACTTAAATATGACTAAAACATAATGACTTTCTCAATTTAGGATCAAATGTTTTTATTTCCTAATGTAGGACCTTTGGTCATTATCTATTAGTCATTATTCAACTAAATGTCCAGCATCACTTGGACATTATTCTTCTCACTAGTCATTATTAAGTCTTATTGGGGGAATAAAAAAGTTTAAGTCTTACATTGAGAAATGAGTTATGTTTTAGTCCTATTAACTACAAATTTCACTTTTTTCTTCTTATTTAAACGGTTCAATGTCAACACAAGATGAACCTAAAAACCATCCGGTATCATCCCATTTTAAACAGAATAGTACAATACCATACCATGTTCAAATCATGTCAAAAAGTTTAAAATGCATAATCAAATACGGAGTAATATTAAAGCAGAAGCATTATTTTGTATAGAAAAGCACAATTAAGAACTTTACAAAATACTTCGTAATGCTCATAGTAGTAATAAATATAATAACAACAATAATAATGAAATGATATAAAAAGAAGAATAATAAAATACGAAGTACTTTGATCTATATATGGTATAAGTCTATAGGATGATGTAGACAAATATGTATTGGACATACTCCGTAGACACCTTCGAATGTTTTAGTTTGTGATAATCAGTTTAAAATTGGGGAATTTACCTAAATATCACTAAAACACAATGACTTTTCCTAAATAGTATCATATATTTTTATTTGTCAATGTAGTACTTTTAGTCATTATTTATTAGTCATTCTTCAAATAAATGTTCATTATCACTGGACATTATTTCTCCTTCTAGATATTATTTAAATCCTATTTAAAAAAAAGTTTAAGTCCTACATTGAGAAAAAAAGTGTAAGAAAAAGATATTCTAAGAGAAAGATCTTTTCATCGCATTTTAATATTTAAAATACCGTTTGGGAATAGATTTAGCGATTAGCGTTAGCGTTTTGAAAAGACTATCTACGGGCAGCGTTTTGCGTTAGCGTTTTCAAAGTAATCTGCACCGTTGAAATTTTATCCAAAACGCTAACGCTAATCTCTGACGCTATTCCCAAACAGACCTACATCTCTTCACCTGATTTAATATAGGGCATTGATAGCCACATCTGCCAAAATATTAAAGACATCTCATAACTAAATACACCTAGTGATGCTTAGTTATGTTATTATTTCTAAAGTTATATATATATATATTAATTTTAAAACTTTGGTATCTTTTATATTAATATTTAATCAATTAACTTTCATTATTATTATACTCAATGGCTATTAAATTTATATAATACATTTTTAGTTTTTAGGGTATTATACCAATATGCATTTCACCATTTTATGTTATTGAATTAAAAATAAGGTTATATAACTTTTATTTTTTAATTAAAAAATAAAGCTTTATATAATTTTTAAAAAATACTCACATTTTCCCTTTATTACTTTTCAAAACCAAAGATTTATATTAATGATAATATAATAAAAAAAATTAATATAATGCATACCATATATAGATTATTTATTAGAAAATTAAAATAAACAAAATTATATTTTGATTCCAAATATAATTTTATCAAAAACTTGAAAAATTTAAAATATATGTGAGTCAATGCAAAACACGGGATTAAGAAAAATTTAGAAAAGAATAGATAGGGGTTGAAATTAGTTTCGGGTGAGATTAGTCTTTTGATAGGTTTAATATACTCTATCTATTTTTATTAAGAATAATTTGATAAACTTCTACCTTTTTCAACTTTCTTAAAACGATATATATAAAGTAAACCCGAGAAAAGTTTTAACGAAGAAAATTATTCTTTTTGCTAATTTTTGCCTCAAAAAAACTTCAAGTACAAACTTTGTAATGAGCCAAAGG